AATAAACAATTCTAATTGCAAAGTCAGAAAACATGTAAGGTCAAACATTCCTATTTACTTTCACCGCAAAGCATGATGACTCAAGTCATCAGGAAAAGGCTAAGCTGTGCTGCTGTTGCTGAACTATTATTGGTTTTGATTGTACAGTAGCTGGTTATAGTATTTAGCAGCAACAGAAGTGAACATTTACTGAGCACTTGCATGTATTTTCTTATTTTATTTCATAACTGCCCTATTAGGAAGTTTCTGTTTTCACTTTACACAAGAAAACTGGAGTACATGGGGCTGGAGTGATTCATCCAAAATCACCCTGATGGGCATTAACTCCAGAATTCAAGTCCAGACTATGACTTGGGATCCCATACTCAACACTATGTTATATGCTGATTAAGAAGGCAGAGGAAATGTTAACACATTTTAGAGGGCTTTTATGAAAAACTATTAAAATTAAGAAAGTTTGATGCTGAATGCAATAAACCCTCAACCACCTACAAAACCACCAAGTTTCCCAAGGGCTCTAGATAGCTGAGGTTACATTAGAATGAAGCGGATCTGTAGTGAACCCCACTGAATGGTTACACCATGTCTTTGTATATCTCAGAGCTACACTTTCTAACATGTGGTCACTGAGCACTTGAAATGTGGCTAGCCTGAATGGAGATGTGCTATAAACAGCAAATAAACACGAGGTGTCAAGCATATGAAAAGATGCTCAAGATCATCTCATTAGGGAACTGCAAATGAGAACAACAACGAGATACCACTGCACACCTACTAGAATAGCTAAAACCCAAAGCATTTACAAAACTAACTACTGGTGAGGATGTGAAGCAGGAACTCGCGTGCGCTGCTGATGGGAATGCCAAATGGTGTACTACTTGGGAAGACAGTTTGGCAGTTTCTCAGAAAGCTAAACATAGGCTCATCATACAATCCAGCAATTGTGCTCCTGGGTATTGGTAAAGTGAATGGGAAACTTGTATCTACACAAAAACCTGCACATGGACATTTATAGCAGCTTTATTAACAGTTCCAACAAACTGGAAGCAATCAAGCTGTCCTTCAAAAGGTGGATGGAAAAATGAACTCTGGTACATCCATGCAATGGAATATTATTCAGCAATATAAACAAAAGAGCTATGAAGCCATGAAAAGACACGAAGGAACCTTAAATGCATATTGCTTAGTGAAAGAAGCCAGTTTGAAAAGGCTACAAATGGTATGATTCTACTAGCTGACATTCTGGAAAATGCAAAACTATAGGAACAGTAAAAAGGTGAGGGGAGCTGGATAAAGAGATGGAGCATTATTAGGTCAGTGAAGCCATTCTACAGGACACAGTCTTTAGAACTGTACAATACAAAAAGTGTACTCTTAATGCAAATGACTGACTAGTAATAAGTGTATCAATATCAATATTGGTTCACTGATTGCACCAAATGCACCACACTAATATATATAAAATGTTAATGAAAAGGAAAAACAACAGGCAGGCAGGAGAGGCGGAGGAACGCTATACTTCCTGTGCAATTTTTCTGTAAACATAAAACTACTGTAAAAAACGAAGTCTATTAACAATGTTTTAAAATCTTATAGGTAACCAGCCTCAAAATTACAAACAAACTGAAATTAAAAAGAAAAAAAAGCATAAAAAACAAAGCTTAAAACAAGCTGACTGACATGAAACCAACATATCATTGGCTACAATAAATGCTAGTAATAAACTTCCCTATGAAAAGACGCTGACTTAGACTGGGTCAAAAAACGAACAAACAAAAAACCTCACAAAATTATTCATCATACCTAAACCAAAAAGGCAAAGGTAAAAGGCTGAACAAAGATACATTAGACTAGACTAGTGCAGAGAAGGGGGTGCTAATAGTACTGCAATAAAGAAAGTTTCCTGGGCAAGTTCCTTTGTCTCTCTCAGCTTCAGTTCCTGCACTAAGCAATGTTTCACGATTCACTTAGACAACATATACAAAGTCACTAGCACTGTGACTCCCTTTCCTGTTTTTCTGTTCCCACTTCATGCTGAAAAGGGACAACCACAGCTTAGTCTTGAGCAGAACTGCTAATTCAACCCTTTTCTGAGCCTAGGTGGTATCTTGGTTAAAAAGGCCTTCAATTGCCACAGGAGCAATAAAAATTATCTTTATATCCAAAATTAATTCAGGCAAAGTGAAGGGTTATGTCAATAAGAACTTGAAAGAACAATTTTAAATGCAAATATAGTAATGTAGCTAAAGGGGAAAAAACAACAATGATAACTGACAGCAAACTAGACCATTCTAACCCTAAAAACATGAGAAGAGAAAGTCTGAATGAGAATGCATTTCCAAAATGATGACATCCACTACATTTGTTGATTCCCAAACCACTGCTGGGATGAGCACATAAAACTAGAAGAGGATGCCTGTCAGGTAAGAAATTTAAGTAGGTGAGAAGCAATGCAGCAAAGCCCTTTCAAGTTCAAGTTATGATGTACAAGCACAGAGACTCTACTTTGAAGCACTACATTATAATTGTTTAATGAGGAATAGAGTGGAGTGATTGAGAGAAAAATTGAGCCACTGACTGGCAACAAAGAAAACTAATTCAAACCAAAGGAAATAATGCAAAAACCTTAGCATCAAACAGACCAGGAATCAAATCCTGACTCTGCCATCTCCCAGTGGTGTAACCTGCATCAAGTAACAATTCTCCTCTGCAGAATGAGATCATAATGGTCACCTCACAGGGAGCTGGGAGAATTCACTGAGAAATCAGGTAGGAAATGCCCAGCATGGTGCCCAACTCACAATAGGTGCTCAATAAACATTAGTTCCCTCCCACTAACTCCCATGCCACTTTTATCAGCAAGAGTTAAGGAGGGGTTTGAAACTGCTAAAATGCATTTCCTTGTATCTGGATTCACAAACTGATCTGTTTATTTACAAGCAGATTCTCTGAGATAAGCCTGAGACACACAGGCTCAAGATCTGGTGAGCAACCTGACCTGCATTAGTGTGGACGTCTGGTTCCCAGGCCAATGCCTAGAAAAACTGGGCCCGAAATGCAGTATGGGTGGCCAGGAGACAGCCAGGAACTAGAGCAGCCAAAAAAGAGGAAGCATTACTTGAGTTTCGGCTCCCGTCCTTCGCTTGTGTACTGCCAACAGATGAGCCCGATCAGGTCCTGCACCCTGGCGCTGGCCATTGTCACCACGGTCATTGGCAGCAGTCTGTCCTGGCTTGAGTGTAGTGGGAGGTAGACATCGATCTTCTTGGTGGCTGTTGTGCCTACATGACCCTGTGGACAGAGCACATGCATGAGGGTGAAGCACACAGTTGTGGTCATACAGGCCCTATGGGCCACAACTACCACTCTCCAGGGCCTGTGTGCAGCACAGCCATTTCTCATCCTTTTTGCACAGACCTGCTTATGAGCCTGGAAAGGTCCCAAAGTGGAAACACTGTCTAGTGTTAAGGTTTTTTTCCTTTAATTTTCACTTTCTAACGGTCTAATGACCCAACTCTGCCAGCAGCAAGGTAAATGAGCGCTACAACTAAAACAAAAAAACTTGCATGGTGAGCAGACCCACTGTTTGGCGGCAGGAGACCTGCTTTGCTACTTACTCAGTGTGACCTTGGAAAAGTCACCATAAGTATGGGAAGGCCTAGGGGCAGAGGGGATCATGGGGGAAAAGAGGGACACCTGTAATACTTTCAACAATAAAGAGAAATTAAAAAACCAGAAAAGTCACCATTAGATCTTGGCATCAGCTGCCCTCCCTGAAAACAGCGGTCTCGCTCCTTGAGACCCTGGGGAACTCTGCATGGGAAGCTGCCACACTCCCTGAAGAAGATTTAGGCCGGTAGCACTGGAACCACGGGCTGGCTTCTCAGAGACGATGGGGGCTAATTCTATTATGTAGTACATCTGTTTACTTCAGACATCTGCACTGAAGTTCAAGGGTCTCTGGTCTTCCACTTTTGCCCTAACCATCATAAACACTGCCAATCCCTCCCATGCACCTACCCCTCCTCCCTCCAGAAACTTTCACTCCCCTCTGGGACTCCAGCACTAATCAGCAAACTTCCATAAATTATGACTTCTTTTTAAAAAACATTCCCTCCAGCCCTGGCCAGTGTGGCTCCGTAGGTGGAAGGCTAGGTGATAGACACCTCTTCAGAGAAGCCTTCACTTGATAATCCTACAGAAAGAAGCCCGTCCACAGTTATTCTCACATTTATCCTGTTCATTTTCTTCACAGCATTTAATAATTTGATATTACGTATTTATTGATGTACATCCTTAACGCATCCTTCCCCACTAGCCTCTGAGCTCCATGAGGGCAGCTATAATAATGTCTGCTCTATACACAATGGCCAGCACTGTGCCTGGTACACAGAAGATTCTCCAAAAAAAAAAAAAAATCTGTTGAACTACAAAATGAATGCATAAATGACTTAGATGACTACCAGATACAAGGTAGGAACTCAACAAATGTTAGTTTCTTCCATCCAGCCCTCTTTCCTCTCCTCTATGGATCTGTTTCCTGGTGGTGGATGGAGATGGAGGGACTTGAGCAATCAAATGGTTCCATCTTTAACACTGTAATTTTATCATTCTAAGGCGAGGGGAAAAAAGATCAAAACTACAGTAAGGAAATACATAAAATCAGTTTAAAAACATTTTTAGAGAAATTCCACATCTTTTATAAGCCAGCATCCAATATTAGATCCATTGATGTTTTTTACTGAGTCTTGTCTCTATGTTATAAAGCAAATAATAAAAAAGTATTCTCTTATGCAATGTTCTCACTCCTCTCTCTCATATGTACACACACACATGCACACACTCACACCCATGCATGTTTTTCAGCCTGGAAATAATCATCCCAATGACTAGCAAAGACGTGTCTAAACAGCAAGTGTTTGACCTTGTCAGGCAGTCAAAGAGTTAAAATGACACCAAGGGCAGGCTTCCTAGAGCGCCCACCCCTCCGCCCACCCCTCCAACCTCCCCTTCAGACCCAGCCCAGTGTCCTGTCCTCCTTCCTCCTCCTGCACTAGAGCTGAGGGACCGTGGGAGTCACAGGATCTCAAAACAGGAAGAGTCAATGAGATTACAAATGTGAATGTACTTCACAAACTGTAAAGAGCTTTAGAAATGCAGAGCAGTTGGCTAGAAAGGGCCTAGGTTTTAAAATCAGACCCATTTCTATTACTCAAGCCTATTACATGGTCACATGAGACTAAAGATGGATGCTATAGGAGCCCTAATAATAATAGTTATTATTATAACAAGAACTTGCATTTATTTATAGCTAACTCTTAAATAAACTCTGCTAAATGCCTGCCTAAATTGTCTCCTTTAATTCTCACAATCACTATAAGGGGTAGGGTTCTATCATTACCCTCATATTATAGATGAGAAAAGTAGGGTTTGCAAGGCTACAGTCAACTATTAAACTCAAGATCCCATAACCAAGGCGGAAGAGGCAGAATTCAAACCCGGTCTGCTTGACTCCAAAGCCCCTACTTTCCACATCAATGCCTTCTTTCCCTAAAGTTATTCAAAATGAAATACATTCCCATTTTCAAGGGTTTGGAAATCATCTCCTCCCTCTGTTCACAATGAACCAGAAGTTCTGCCTAAAGCAGTCTCCTGTAGAAGGAGCTAGCTCTGAGGAGCTGGCCAAGAACTGTTAGGGGACTGAGACTCCAGAGAACGTAGCGATTTTAAGTTGACTAAAGGCACTATTGTTAAGGAATGATATTCCTATGAACCCTTTATTCTCTTTATTTCACAGTGAAATAGCAAGTGTGGGGGAAACTATGAGAATAAATGAGGTAGATGCTTATTAAATGAATAAAGCACTTTATCTTTTTAGTCTTCTAATTCCATCTTGAGGCACTGGTGACGGGAACAAGTACCTTGCACAAACATTAAAATTACGTATTTTTTAATAAGAAGCCTCTTCTGAAAAAACTCAAGGTGGTGGCAGCTAGCTCTAATAGTCCCTGTGCTGCAACATTTAGAGGGAGCCATCTAAAACATAAAACAATCCATCACATAATAGAAAGTAATTAATTTATTTAAAAAGAATATGGTGACCAAAGGATTACAAGTACCCACCACACACCAAGGCAAGCCACATTCCAGAGGCCTGACGCCTTACCATCAGAAAGCAGCTCATGGAAAACAAAGATCATTTCGTGGTTTCACTGATGGCAATGCATGTTCCACAACATGGCACTAGGGGAGTGAAGGTATAACTAGAGCACATGAGGTCAACACAGAGGCAGGGAAAACCGGGTTCGTGCCATCTTTCTCAGTGACTCATGCATTCAACTAACACTCACTGAAACACCATGCTGGGCTCTGAAGACTAAGTCAAGTGAGACACAATGGAGACGCTCACCAAATTCACCATCTGTTGAAGGTCTGTATTGCATAATGTGATAAAAAGCTTCAAGAGGGGAAGGCTGTTGTGTGAGCTCAGAAGCAACTCAGACCAATGGGGGTTGGCAAAGGCTTCCGTCCTAGATTTTAAAACTTGCCCTTCCATCCAGTAGAACCATTAACCCAAGGAAAAGATGCTTACTGTACTTAAATACCTACTATACCAATACACAAAAAGTGAACAGAGTTCTTCTGAGACATGGGATTATGAGTGATTTTAATTTTCTGCTTTATATTTTTCTGCATTTTATATAATGAGCATGTGTTATTTTCATAATTAGAGACAAAAGAACTACCACGGGAGGCTTAAGAGTGTTAGGTAAGAGAAAGAGATGATCAATTTTGAAAATGCAGCAAGATTTATTAGGAACACACTATGTGCCAGGTGCTGTGACAAGCTGTTGAAAAAAATAAGTTTTAAAATGTAACTCAGACACCTTCCCATGGCAGGTTAAACGATTTTTATCAAAGAAAAATAAAAAGTAATAAACCCACAAAGGGCTGACAAATTCGGATTTGAACAACTCTCTCCAGGAGTAGCCCCTAATCAGGGAATGCCCCAAATTCAGGTTTTAGAACAAAAAACAAAAGTATTCCCTGTAGCAAAACTATTCCTCAACACAAATGCAATTCATGAAGACCAGCTATGACTCCAGAGTTCATGTCACATGGCCTCCCCATGACTTGATGGCTCTGCAAATGCAGCTAAATCTCAGACTCAACATGTCTAAGACCTGCTTTCTTCCTCAGCTCATCTCTCATTCAATATCCCATCTCAGTGAAGGCTTCCGCCACCTACTCCACACTCAACCTCGGAAACTAAACTCCTGTCTCATTTACCTCTGAATGCCTTTGAAAACATCCTCAAATCTTTCTCTTCACTGCCACTGTCTTAGTTCAAGCGCCATCATCTCTGAAACCACTGCAGCAGTCTCCCTGTTTCTAAAAATCCCTCCTCTGTTCAAATGCCTTACTGCTATCAATATGATTTTTCTCAAATCACTGATCATACCATATCAGTCACCAGCTCCGAAACATATAATGGCTGCCCTCCCCAGGGTTAGCATTTCAACTCCTTAGCATGACAGTTAATACCCTTCACAATCTGGTCCCAAAAATCATTGCTAAAGTAAACTGAGCAGTAGTTAAGAGCACAAGATTTGGGGTCAGCCAGATCCAGGTTTGAATCCAGACGCTGCCATTTTTTTAGCTACTAGACTTTAGATGTTGGGCATCTAACTACACTTCTCAGAACATCCATTTCCTTACTTGGAAAGTAATGTACATATCAATAGAATGAGTGATCAATATTCTTTTAACACATGATTTTAAACACCTGCATTAATATTATAGCATGTAGAGATACAATCAACTTATTCCCCAGCTGTTAAATATGTATGCTGTTCCTAGTATTTTACTATTATGAATAATATTCTCAAAAACATTCTTACATAAATGTTTGTGCACATTTTCCTAGGAGTAGGCTATTGGGTCAAAGAGTATGAATGCTTTGTGGCTTATGATATATACTATAATAGTTTAATCTTTTGAAAAGTAACTTTATACCAATCATGATAGATCGTCCAATTAATAATTAGGTCATAATCCCTGGCTGGGTGGCTTGGTTGGTTGGAGCGCTGTCCCACACACCAAAAGGCTGTGGGTTCAATTCCCAGTTAAGGTGCATATGGGAGGCAATCGATCCGTGTTTCTCTCTCACATTGATGTTTCTCTCTCTTTCCCTTTCTTTCTCTCTCTGCCCCTCCCTCCCTTCCTTTCTCTCTAAAGACAGTGAAAACATATCTTTGGGTGAGGGCTAAAAATAAATAAATAAATAAATA